AATAAAATATTCTCCTGCTGACTGCACTTAGACTTTGGCTCGTGATGAAATTTCTGTCTTTGGAACATATGAAGATTAATTCCACACTGTAAACAGGTGAGAAGCGCCTATTAGGTCAAATAGCTCTATCAATCAGACTAATCCACGTGTGGTTTTCATCTCAAAGGCTCAGTTACGCCTTCGACTTTAGGTTTGATCTTGTGTCTGTCCAAATATCTGTAGTTCTGTCTGTCTCAACACTGCCACAGTGAGAAATATTCAGCCTCAAGCCCTTGCTTACCATATTCTACTGGAAGAGATACTGGGACGGAGACAGTGGAAAACTATTTTAGTCAATGCTGGAGGACACAGGTTTTGGTAATGATGAAGATCTGGAGACATGCAAATCCCTCCAGGATCACATTCCACCTCTTTGTGTTTGTGTGTGTGGGGGTGCACATGTGCGAGTATGAACACGTGTCTGTGCATCTGTTCTGTCTTTCGTATGCGCTCTCGCTGTCTTAATGCTAATGTGTTCCCTCTCATGGATGTTTGCGTGCCCGTAACAATGAGCCAGTGAGCTGCTCATTAGCAAGCTGCTTTAGTCATCCTGGATGGTCCTCAGTGGAAAGAGGAGACACGAGCTGAAAAGAGCGCCACCCCCGCCAACGGCAGCAAAGCCCGGGTCAGGAGAGGTACCAGCTCTGGTCTGTCAAGACCATCCACTTACTGTGAAGTGAACTGCGGCTCTTCCCTGAGCGGCAATTAATCAGGTCACATGTTCCTCACGCTCAAGTCATATAGATTTCAGCCTGAAAGCAGTAAAATATGCAAATGTCTCTAAAGCTGTTAAGTAACTCTACCCTTTTGTCGTGCTTTTTTCTCAACCACATTTAAAGCCTGAGTGGCAGTTGTGACTACTTAAAGCTGTGCCACGAGTCAATGAAGAGCTCAAGTCATATTTGTGTTCCACTGTGCAAGCAACTACTTGATTTAATAATGCTGTTTTATGAAGCATGATTCATATTTCAAAGGCTGCATATCTGGAGTGGAAATAATTCAGCGCTTGGGTTTAGACAGGCTTAAATCTTTGATCCTCCCCGGTGATCTTGACTTGCCTTTTGCTTTGTCTTATTTTCTTGTGTGCAAAGTGTTCTTTGTTGTGCGTGTAAGAAAACAGACGTCTCTAATAGAGTCATTAGCTGTGGTTTGATGGCTGTAGCTGTCTTCGATATGCCCGAGACACCCGCCGTTCTCATGACTTTCTCAGGATCCTCATCAATGCACTTGGGTGGTAATTGGCCAATGATGGTGCTCATCACATTTATCATCCCCATGGCCTTTTAGCTCCATCAGACACATGTAACTTCTCAAATACGTTCCATGTGAAGATGTAATTTCTTTTAGATAACAATCGAAGGAATGCTTTGATCTGATTGCTTTTGGTATAAACAATGATAAGATGCAATCAGATTTTACTAGACTGCTTTGATTTTGGAGCTTCTGAGTGATCACTGATGAACCTATGCATATTCCGGGCGATATGTGGACGATGTTGTGGTATCAGCTGCAATTGTTGACTGCTTACAGATGTACTGGCCCATCTCCTCATCGCCTCGTACTTGTGATTAAGCCACAGAACAATGACTTGGGCACATCGTAAAGACAAACAGGAAAGCCTCGCTGTTTTTCCTTCACTCCATTTCCTTTGATTCTCCTGAAGGTCTAGCCAGTTGTAAATCTAAAAGCATAATAAGAAAAGATTGTAGATGCTGACACAGAATGCTTCTGGAGCCCATTCAAAGCGATCATATTTTGATTTTGAGTTTTCATCCCCCTGTGATTCTTTAATCACTGAGAGGCTGGAGTCGCTGATCTGTACTCCAGTGCCTCAGTTTCCCCCTTCAGTAGGTTGGTGTGGAAAATTGATGTCATCTGACTCCCCCTCCACTGGTTCTGATTAGGGAGGAGTGCTCCGGGAATTCTGGATCCGGGGTCTCTCACTCCGATTAACCACGGTCAGGCCCGATTCCACGCTCATCGCTCTCACACCTCGTCACATTCCCATCCAATCCCCGCACAAACTGTGCCGTTAGGAGCTGGCCGGTGAAGTTAGGCAGTAAGATCAAGAAACGACAGAGCGAGAGAAAGCTTATTTTTCTCCTGTTGATCATACGCTCAGCTCCAAATGTTCTGAACCGCTGACACATAGTTGTAATGCAAATCAATTTGGAAGCTAGATCTTAAGATAAGTCAAGAAGAATGTTCCAAATCACAAATCATCGTTGTTTTGTCATCTGAGTGAGATGTTATTTTATTATATATTTATGTGCTCCTCTCTGTGGATGTTAAAACATTAAAAGCTTTGTGAAAAGCCTTCTTAAATGATTTTGTTTCACTCTTAAGTAAACCTGCCTTTTGAGAGCTGGCTGATAAAATTGGTTATAGACCCAGAAGAGTAAGTGTCCGATTGGTCTGTGTTGTTCTGGTAAAATAATATGTCAGATCCAATCCCGGTTTAAATGATAATTACAGTTTATTACAACTTGGATCAAGTTTTCGTAAGTTTAGTCTGTTTTGATAACGTTGTTCTCGCCAAAGTAATAACACTGCATACGTTTTGACATCTCATAGCGGAACTAAATAACATTAATAAAGGCTGAATTCCAATAAGGTGGTGCCGTTCCAGTCCCCTAGTGTTGTACATCCTGGCTTCCTGCCATGGCTTATTGGAACACCCAAATGGATCAGAGCCATCGTTAATGTCACCTGTGATTTTCCTGCTATGACATGTCAAAGTGACTGCTGTGGAGAAAAAAAAGGTCTACTGCTGAGATCTGAGAGCATGGCGACATCGCTCAAAAGAAATCCAGGCACACAAGCAGACAGATCGTCAAACACACTGTTGGAGTGACGGTGGCTGGCTGGTGCTTTTGTTATTTTCATTCACATGCACTATTATGAAAAATGTACATGATTGATTTAAATGAATAGTATATAGCATCTAATAGTAATCTAATGTAAAATATCAGATAGAAGCAGATTATGTATAGAGAACTCATTACTCAGAAACACATATGTCACTTGTGAGGGGGGGTTAAATAAAGAAAAAAATATACATGTTAGCGATATTAACCAGACAAAAAAGGTTATGTTAGAGAGATCTTACATTTTTACCTGGGACGTGTAGCTTTAACCTCAGTTTCTTAGCATGATATCATGTACGTAACTGTCAAATGCTTATTTAAGACTCAGCCGGAAACATTTAAACTCATGGAGTTAACATAGTTTAATTAGCTAGCTATCTACAATTGCTAATTTAATTTCAGCAGGCAAAATAAACACTCTTCAGCTAGTCTGCTTTTGTCTACCTCGACCCGTTGTGTCATAAATTACTATGGATTTAGATGGTAAATCTGCCATCGTTATCATTGTACATCATGTGTTGTGAAGCAAAAGCTTGTTGTATTAACAGTAACTATAGGGGAGTACTAGGCTGAGCATAAAATTGTAAAAATGTTGTGACCAAAACTGTGAAAATAAGATCAAAGATAAAAACAGGCTTATCCTTAAACTTAACATAGAAGTGTAATGTTTTAGTTATTTGAATGCAGAGCATAGAATGTTAAACTCTTTGGTCATTGTAGAAACCAAAATCTGTCCCAGGCCTTTCTTTTTTTCTTCCCTTTTTGGTATACATCCCTTTTTGTGTTCTCAGTGGTATATACTTTAAAAGTTTCATGCAAATGAAAATCTTTTTCATATTTTCTCCCTCATGCATGCTGCTACATCAAAAGCGTTGTCCAAAAGCCCTATTAAAGTTTGCAATCCATTTATGAAAAAGTCCAGGTAGAGCATGGAGCATAAATCTATTTGAGGAACAAGCCTGTGGTTAAAACAAAGTAAAGCTCCTTGAACTGCAGCTCCTTTGAAAGATGGAAAACAGGTCATTCTTAGGCCTCATCAAGAAACTAAATCAAAGTAGGGAGTCGCTGTAGCCTAAGGAATGGAGTCAGGGGAGTGAAAACCATTAAAAGTGCATTGTGCAGGCAGTCTGCAGAGGGAAAAAAAAGAAGAAAGAGTTACACGAGAGGAATCACAAAAGCAAAACTACCACAACAGTGAGGTTTAAAAACAGTGTGAATGTGAAAATGTATGATGTCCTTTTGTCTTATGTGTGGTTAAGTGTAGATCTGTCCAATGTCATGCACCATAAATCTTAAAGTAGGCCTTATTGGTTCACAAGCTTCAGACGACTTGACATTAACACAAATTTGGGAGAAAAAAGAAAGTTAAAGTGCCTTAAATCATCAGCACTTTTCACCCTCCTCCTTTAGAAAATTGCTTCCGTCTGCTTATTGAGCCATAAAATAACACGGGAGTCACGAAAATCCTCGACAGATTTTGTGATTCTTACAATCAAATTAAATGTGGTAAGTTCCGATTGCAGCTCATTACAGCTGACTAGAAGAGGAACGTAGTGCGCGATTATTCTCTCATCAGGAGCATCCTTGTGGGAAGTTGAGAATTTGGGGTATTTTTATGAGTGTCGTCATTTTTAAAGAAAATGGCAGCTGATGCTAAATTTGGAACCTTGCCGACTTTTACCATTTGCCAAACCATCGATGTTATAAATCCTTCCTAACAGGACCGTTTCATACTGTTGCCATTACTGCAAGTGGAACAACATGGGACTGGTTTAACTTTGTTTCCTGCTTGTTTGAACCGGCTGCTAAAAGTAACTGGATGCTGCTGGCAGCCCAATAAACTTAAAAGCTGGTCTACAAATATTTGGATGACTCAAACGAAGTCATGACTATTGAGAGAAGAGATAAACATGAACAAATGTGAATCTGCGTGGAGATGTCTTAGATTGTTATTGTAGGATCTTGCTACTGAGCTCATGTAATGAGCGAGGTGGCATGTTGCTAGCGTGTCTGTCTGTAATTTTATGTTCTTTAACAAATTACCTCCCTGTCTCTCCTCCTCCTCCTTCTCCCCTCTCTCTCTCTCTCTCTCAGGACACCGAGCGTTGGGAGAGGTCAGCGTTGAAGGTCGCTGAGATCATGTCAGCTTTGATCCAGGAGAGGAGTCCCGCCCTGGTGGGACAGCTTCTGCAGGCGTGAAGGGAAGCAGCACCAACCGAGAACCTCCTCTACCAGACTCACGAACGCTGCAGGGATGAGGCAGTGTTTATTCTGCTCTAAATCCATCTCATCAGTTACAGCAAGGTTAAAGGGATACTCCCAGGATTAAGTGCTGCCCAGCGAAAACTTTGGGGACTTTCAAGAGATTAACTTCCAAAAAAGAATTGAAGCAGCAAATGCAGAGATATTCTGAATTTTAGCACCCAGACTGCATCAGGCTCAAACCCAGAATCCTAGACTTCCCTTCGCTCCTTTTGTTTAGCTTTCTGCAAAAAATCAGATTGTGGCAATGAAAGCTAGTCTTTACTATAATCAACCACAAATCGGATGTTGTGGTCTATTCTAACAATATATGTGGTTGGTAAAGTGGCCAGTATTTTGTTGGGTTGCACCAGTGCCAAATGACAGAGTGAATTAGTTGGTTGTTTGAGATATTAAAACAGAAAAATATTTAACATTTATCATTAATATTTACATATTGACTGAACACATTATAAAGCTGCTGTAGGTTTACTTTTTTATTGTTTGTTTTGTTTGTAAGTTTTTTTCATCAAATTAGTACAGCTGGATTTTTCAGAAATTAAAGCCCCTATGTTTTGGATTTTAAACATTCTTGCTTTGGAGACTCCTAGTGATATTACTATGGACACAACGATGCACATCAACACATACAATCATATAAAAACACATAGGGGCTTTAAAATGGCTGTAAACAAATGAGACCATTGTTGAGAAAATGTTAGTCCCCTACTGGAACCAAGAGATTCTGATTTAAAATCTAGAGAAGGTAGACAAATTAAAGCATTCAGTTTTTGAAACTTTTTGCAACTTATGGTCACAAAAATTCCTTCCAGTATGTTTGTCCTCTTCAATAAAGCACAAAAGAAACATGGAGGATCATAACTTATGTGAATTGTGCTGTGCTGACACCATAACTGCTTTAAGTTTGAGGCTGACAGCCATCTAGGTTCAGTCTAAGTTGTTCACCGGAAGTATCACAAGTACTTTGAGAAGCGAGACATGGCCCCAAATGCATGTACAGTACATTCGCATAACAAATGATTATTTCCAACCTGGATCAACAGACCGTATCACTACGTGAAGTTATTACTGTGGGAATTTGAATTACAATATGTATTACCACAAAAACTGGGCGTTTGTAAACAGATAGGACAAATAGTAGTTTTCACACTGAACCCATTTGATTCCGACTTGGCAACTTTAGACTAGTGTGAAGACTGAAGTCAAACTCTGGATGACGCAAGTGGACTAAACTGCCTGAGAGGGTGAAGTGAGTCTAGTGCTTTCTTTTTTTTGTGTTGCGATAGCAAAGCACAGCAGCCACAGAATATGATATGTTATTTTAGCTTCAATTCAAAAGATAAACTGATAAATCCATCAGCTGATCATGAACTGTCAAGGAAGTGATCTGTCTAAGCAACAAATATATATTTATGCTATTTATTTGTTAACCACAGTAACACTTGTGCAATGCTGGGATTGTCCCTGATATTCCTGCTTGCGTCCTACCCCGTTTATGATGAAAAACTAATTAAAAACATGATGACACCATAGTAATTATTTCCCCAATTTAATCCTGTTTCTACCTGGTCGTCATTCATAAACAGTCATTTTTTTATGTGCTTTCTGTACTCTGACAACAAATATACACAAGAAGCAGTAAAGTGCAGCATGATCTGCTGTATCACTGATGATCGCAGGATGAAAGTCCCCAAAACTGTCATGGGGTGCTATTGATAAAACTGTATTGTGTCATAAGGACTGCTTTTACCACTGGATAAAGTGACTTAAACACTAATGTGTAATAAGAGGGCGCTTATATATTTGTACTCCATTAAAACTGCTTATTGAAAACACTAAATATGGGAGAACAATTTTTTTTTTTCTTATTTTACTAAGTAAGTGCGGATTTCAGAAAATTATGTTTTATTCAGAAATCCAACAAAATATATTTACCTTTTGCCATCAACCCTGAAGTCACAGATTAGACCCCCAACAGCAGCAACAGATGTGCAGTGTCTTGCTCATGGGAATTTCAGCTGTCTCCCGACTGTGAACATTTAGGTGTGTTGGCCCGAAACGATTCCTAATCAAAACGTGACTGAAGTGCTGTAAAGGTCCTGAAGTTTAGATGCAAGTCTGGTTGTCTGTCTGCGACCTCATGCATCAGTGAAGCCCTTAATGAAGCAGCATTGTACAGAGGAGGCTCCTGTTTCCTGCAATGAACCAGCTCTGATACCAGCAGACCTTGCGGCATTTTTGCACTGCGCCCCCAGACTGATGATGGGGAGAGAAAAAGCGATGACGTCCTCCAAGAAGATGTGTGCCATGCTTTTATTCCACAAGTTAAGATATGAAGATCCAACTGTCAAATGCATAGAGAGGCTCGGTCACAAGAGGCTTGACTATATGAAGGGTTCAGGGAAACCTTTTATACCTCCTCATAGTTAAAATGATAAAAGATTCTCACTTTTTCATTTGACATCTCTGACTTGGACCTGTCCAGGGTGTACCCCGCCTTTCACCCGATGTCAGCTGGGATTGGCTCCAGCCCCCCCCGACTCTGTACGCAGGATAAGCGGTTGACGATGGATGGATGGATGGATGGATGGATGGATGGATGGATGGATGATGTCTTAATTCTATCCTATATTTAAGATATTTATCAGATGACAAAAATGCAAATTAAATTGCAAAAAGAGATGAGATGTGGACGGCATTAAAGTCTGTAGTGTAATTGACTGGATCTGTAGAAAATATGGTGTGCAGGTGTTGGTGGGGGGAAATGTTACAAGACCAAGTCAGTGCACATAGGGAGAGTCTCTTTTGTTGACTTTTGGGACTTGGAGCACCAGGGCTAAATGCTCTCAATCAGCCCAAGTGGACTGATCTGTCTTCCAATTAGAAGACGCTACAAGAGAAGAGCGAACAAGGCACAAACAAACAGGCCAGAGTTTATGCTCCGGGCTTCATATCTACATCTTAAGCCGATAACATTCATAAATGGACTCCTAAATCTCATTACACATATACAGACACAACATATATAATCTGACCAAATCACACTTGTTACCAAGCTGTCACAGTGCTCCAGCCATTCGTTTACCTGACCTGTGAAACACCTAGACTCTACACTTAATGTCATTCTGTTTCAAATGATACCTACTTAAAGATATATACTTTAGGCCGCTCCTTTCTTGCTTTATTTTTTGGATGAAATCCATTTTATGTCACGTCCAGAATGCACCACCAACAACAATATTTATCTCATGTTGAAGTCTTAACACAACTAGTGATTCCAGCTGTCAGAAAGATGTAGTGCAATATTTTTCTCCAGAAAGGAAATTACTACAAAACTGACCTTAACTACATTAGTTAAATAAATTTACCTTGTAATGTTGCATCTCTGGTGAACCATAACAAAATATACAACCATCAGGATCATGTTATTGTCAGAGGAGGGTAAAACAGCGTTGCACATCAAAGAGTCTTTAAAAGTGTTGATGCCGGAACATTCCTAAGATCGGCACAAAGGCCTCGTCGCTTTGTGTACGCCTCTCAAACTTCCAGGGCATCTCCAGTTTCCTGTACTCCTCTGCAGCTCAGTGGAATTCCAACTGTTGAGAGAGAGCCGCCTCAGGCTCCATCTTCAGATTCCTGTAATGAACTCCTCACAGCATATGCATATATTTTATGGATTTCTCTGCAGATTGTAACCCACAGTGAGATGTGATAAGAACTGCAACTCTCTAATAGTGCAGGATCTTCCTCTTAATTTGTTATATATGTGGGTTTTTTCACTTTACTGTACCTCTGCGAATGCTATGTTAAAGGATAAGGCTGGCTTTATTCTATATTTCCATGAAGAAACATAGCAAACAATGAGTTAGTTTGTCTATCTAATATCTTCTGAATTTCCTGTCCTGTCTATGGTGCTCAGCCCTGAGCCTATTCATTTCTACAGAACACAATATCTTTAAATTGTGGGGCACAAATATAATATAATTTAGAACAAAGGCTCAGCAATTTCCCTAAACAGCTGTACACAGTAGTTTTAAGCAAATGTGCATTTGTTAGGGATTATTTTCAGCAGCAGATTAACACACATTTGGTGCTCTAGTAAGTATTTGGGGCCACAGGATGGAAATATTTTCTAAAACTATTCCTACTAATTTGTACATCAGTGATACTTTGGCTGTGTGTGTTTAGACTTGATGCCATCCACGTCTACAGTGATATTGTTACTGGATAGTTCAAAGCAATAGTCAGACACAAAATGAACACTAAAACAGTTTTTGTTTGTTTTAATTACTCCTCCTGTTCATACTGACTGTTAAGAGATGGACAAAATACAAAGTCCTGTAGTCCTGCTTGTTAATCTGAAATTATGTATAAGAGGCTTCAGCAGTCTGAGTAAGTCACATAAAGTGGATGTCTTCCAAAGTGGTTGTTTCCTTTTCTTTTTTAAGACAGGGACATCATGCAGCAAAAGGAAGAAACTGAGGCTTGCGGGCCTAAAGTGATTCAGGTGGGGTGACCTGGACATAAACTCGTGAGAAGAAGGGTTTCAGGTTACAGTTGAGACTGTTGATTATTGAAAAGCCTGCCAATTCACTGATATCATCACTAGAAAACAGAAAAGTCAAGTCTGGTTGGACTGAAGGACATTACCAGCACTATTAACACACCTGGACTAGTGATCAGATGTCAGGCTGTGGTGATGAAAGCTTGGTGAAACTGTGTACTTTATGTATTTCTTTGAGTATAGTGACACCTGGCGGTTATCCCAGCTATCCAATCTTTCTCGGTGTGACTGTTAGATATTCTTTCTCCACTAGGGGTCACATTGGACTTGTCTACACGAGGACTGCAAGTGTAGTGCATAAGATTTTGGTGAATTTCAAATAGGCTTTGTCTATTCTATTTTGTGAGTGTTTATTTTGAGTGTCTCATAACCCTTTACAATAAAACACATAGGAAAATTACAACAAGAGAATTTATAAGTGAATAGGAAAGATCAGTCTTGGATTTAACTGTTTGTTTATCTCTCCTCTCTGTGTGAATGCTGTTGTCCTCTTCTGTGTTTGTGTGGCCAGTCCTCTTTCCAGGTCTCTATGGCAGAGAGGTGGTGGTGTGGGCTCAGATCCTACTTAGTGAGCGACACCTGAAGCTGCCCAATTGTCCTCCTGGATCCACCCTCTTATGTTTTACAATCTACAATTTGTCATCATAATTGTATATGACTGTCTGTTGTGAATCTATTCTGTACACACGACTATCTATTGCACGTGTGTCTGTCCTGGGGAGGGATCCCTCCTCTGTTGCTCTTCCAGAGGTTTCTACCATTACTTTCCCTGTTAGAAGGTTTTTTTGGAGGGGAGTTTTCCCTTATTCGAATCGAGGGCTGTCTGACAGAGGGTGCTGTGTGCTCTACAGATTTTAAAGCCCCTTGAGGCAAACTGGGATTTGTGATATTGGACTATAATTAAAATAGACTTGACAGGTAAAACAGAGCTTTTACAAAAAACCTGACTGTGGCTTAGAGGTTTAAGGCGCTGACCATGAATCGCAATGTCCACATCTCTGTCATCTCTCTACTGTCAAGTCTCTAATAAAGACATAAAACGCGTCTGACCTGACATGATTGTCATCCTTCAAAGACAGAGTTGGTCAGCCACAATGTCAGATTTTCTTGGAAATATACATGTAATATTTTGGAATAGTTTTAAGATTGAGGAGTGGAAAAAAGCCACCTCTTTTTTTAATATCCTAAGCCTGTGATTAACCCCCAATGCTGTGGTTGTAGGTGCTGCCAGATGGTTCAGTTGTGATTGTTGTAGCTGCTGTGTCTGAGCTGAGCTAGCTTAATGCTAACCAGAGCCACGGGCCTTGGCTGATACCTCAGACCAGGTCCTGTTTAGATAGCGCCACTGCTGGTGCAGCATGGAGGGAGACCAAAGCCAGATGCCACAGTTTGACTATCTGTAGGTCTGCCAGGCTCAGACAGCACGTCGTCACCCCGACTAGCCAACCACAGCTCTGATTATGGTCTTGGTATTGTAATAGAGCCTAGGGCCCTGTGCTCACAACTAGGTATGTGTGCCTTTCCATTGAAGCACATCCACTGTAGATGTTCTGTGTGTGTCTGCGAGGGTTTGAAGTGAATGTGACAACCCTAAATTTAGATTGCTGTGTCCGAGTTCATCCTGGCCGAAGGATTCCCACATCTGGATCACAATAAAAGCGACACATCCATGCCAGCAACGCCTAACATAAGGGCACACGGAGAGAAACCACAAGAAAGCTTCTTCCTGGAGACTACAAAACAAACACAGCGAGGGGGTCAAGGGAGCAGACAAAGAATATGAGGACTCTGGACGGGTCAGGAAGCTCTGTGAGGTGGGATGCCAAGTACAATAAGGCAGCCATGAATACAGGAGGGAAGGTGTTCAGAAATTTGACCTCATGAAGTCATTGCAAACCCACAATGTCTGGATAATGCAACTCAGTGGGATTCCATGTCTGTTTGTGTCGCTGTAGTTAAAACCATAGCACAAATGCTGTCAGGGTTGAATTTCCATGGATTCCCACTAATGCTCACAATATAAACATACATGTAATATAAATGTTTGCAGCAACTGAGGTCACTTCAGATTAAAGTGCTCAACAAATGGCACCTGGAATCATGGGACATCTGTGGACTATAGTGCCATCTAGTGGAGATCACGTTTGAATTTCATGATTGATTTAAAACAAATACTCAACAGTCTAACCACCAAATCCACACAGTTGAATGCAAGTTTGCCGTCTCACATATAGCCATAATGACTGCCATAGAAGGTGCTGAAAAATTCAGATTAA